GGTCCCCATATGTCCAGATTTGCCTGAACGCTGCCTTTAACAACGACTGATTGCCTCATTTGTTTTCTTTTCCAATATTTTTGATAATTTCAAGGCGAGCATCAAAAGCGGAGCAATGATTACCGAGAGTGAGTCAGTCATACTGTTGTGACCAAGTATACGTCAACTTATCGGAGGTCCTAAGATTTGCAATTGGAGAGAAGGGCGAAAAATTCCCTGATGAAAGTGCACGGCTTAGCCACGCTTCGCGAATAATTTTTCTGGGACATTCCAAATTTTTATGAGGCCATAACCTCGAAATTTTGAAGAGGGCGCCAGCGACGCCCCTGAAAGTTTTTTTTGCAAGGCTAATTTGATTTTTGCATCTGAAAATTATTTTGATACATATATAAAGTCACTTGTACAATTTTCAGCCCATGTAATTTGCAAAAACTCGAGGCTCATTTTCGGGAGCGGGGAAGGGCCTCGGACGGCCGCTACATCCATCGAACACCGTACAAATTAAGCTTTTTTTTTGAGTGGGTACACTATAACCACTGCACATGCTTCTCTCAAGGACCACGCAATCAAGGCGAAGAAATCAAAAAATCAGTAGAAAAGAGCAAAGACAAGAGTTTGTAGAACTACTAACCTGTACAAGCTCTGTATAAGTTTTTCATTCTGCGTGCCTTTCCATTTGAGTTCCAAAGCGTCAAACATTAATCGACACAGTTCCTGCACATCATGTTGGTCATAAGCTACAAAATAGTAAATCTTCATGTGCTGCAGGTTTCGGGGAACAGGCTCACCTTCACTGCTGGACCATCCAAAACTTGCAGTCAAATCTTTGGTTTCCAATGAGGAAAGATCGCTCGTTTGTAGCAAAAGAAATAGCTTCTGTATTTGATAAGGGATACTTCTCGCTTCCCTCTCACCCGCACTAGTAGAAGGCTTCCCGCTGATACGATATTCCCATCTAAAGAAGTGGTCATCGGATTATGACTACCGGATAGAAAGGCAAACTTACTTATAAATGGCGTTTCTGAACTCGGGCGTCATGTACAAGGACTGCACTAAGCTATTCAGATAACAAGTCATTGCCTTGAAAACAA